TGCGGGATGTCGGTGAGGACCAGGTGCACCCTCCCCTCTGCCACTTTCCCCAGGGGAGCCTGCAGCACCGGCTCCCTCAGCCTGGAGCTCAGCGTTTTGCCACGAGGGGCTATCCCATGGAGGACGTGAAGCTGCAGGGTGTGCCGATGCCTCCGGGGGACCTGTGCGGTCCGACGCTGCTGCTAGATGTGCCCATCAAGATGGAGAAGGACTCTGGGTCTGAGGATGCTGCAGACGGCTGTGTGCCCAGCCAGGAGTGGCTGGGGGCCAGTGACAGGAGCCATCCAGCCACCTTCCCTACCAGGATGCACCTGAAAACAGAGCCAGACTCTCGGCAACAGGTGTACATCTCGCACCTGGGGCATGGCGTGCGGGGGACTCAGCCTCATGGCAGGGCCACTGTTGGGCGCAGCAGGGAGCTGACCCCTTTCCACCCCGCACACTGTGCCTGCCTGGAGCCCATGCACAGCCTTGCCCAGCCAGAGCCTCCCCACCAGCTCTGTGCACGGGGCCGAGGCGAACAGTCCTGCGCCTGCAGAGCTGCTGAGGCCGCCCCTGTGGTCAAGCGGGAGCCCCTGGACTCGCCCCCGTGGGCTACTCACAGCCAGGGAGTGGTGCCTGGGATGTTTCCCAAAAGTGCCTTGGCAACGCTGGTCCCACCCCAAGCTTCGGAGTGCACGTTCCTCCCGTAGCACAGTGACCACCGCCCAGGCCCAGATCCGTCCGTCTACGCTCAGATGCGTCAGTGGCTGGGCTGCCCTGCGCCTGGTCAGGCCAGAGCCCATCCTAAGACGTGCTTTGCAGAGCTGTGCATGCGCACTCTGCTAGTCTGTGTGTGCAGGATTTGCAGTAGCGTATCCTGAGTTTTGTAAAATATCCCAATAGTTCTTAAATGCAAACTGGCCATAAATCTGTTCAAGCATGACAGTATTTCTCTTTGAGGAATTAAAATCTTTAGGAAAGTGATCACGACTGGACAGCATCATCCCGTCCCACGGCCGCCAAGTCCACAGTAGGGATGAAGCGGTTGGGTGACCTACCTAGCTCAGCCCTCCCAGGCCACCTGCAGCTCCCGGCCTGTGCTGTGCAGGCAGAGTCAGCCCATGGCCACAGTGTGCTGCAGAGGCCAGCACACTGCAAATTAGAAATACAACTCGCAGAGAAAGGATCTATGAGCCCACTCATGGAGGAATCTAGAAAGTTCCAGGCAGCAGAGGCTGGCAGCATGGGTCCCACACTGTGTGGCACCGTGACAGAGTGTGAGGCCAGACCTGGACTGGAAATTGACAGGATAGCCCCTGTTCCTTCTGGACATCTCCCGAGTTCTCAGTGGGTCTCCGCAGACAGTTCTTACTAATCCGCCTCCTGGTGCATCACGTAATGCAGAGTTCACAGACTCCGGGTTTGGAAGTACAGAGAAACACAACGTAGAGAGAAGACACAGGAAACTGTGCTGTCTGTGGGGTTTCTCTCTGGCTGGCTGCCTCTACGGTTCACTCAAATGAGGGTTCCCATTGCCATCCTAGGAGAATAATTAGGGACAAGACGGACAAGTATTAACAGCATTAAAACAGTGGTAAAGGCGATATATTCTGAGAGGAGGAAATTTGGATACAAAAGCGTAAGTCAGAAAGTGAAGGTCACCAATCCACCAACCCGGGTAACTTACAGCTGCTGGTGCAGGTCAGGTTTCTTCCGTGGTGTGGCCTGGAACCCCACCCGGCTGGTGCAGGCATCAGATCAGGGTGTAGAAGTCACCGCCGGGCAGTGAGGCCCACCTGTGTGGGGGCGGGAAGGCCCCTCTCCTCAGGGACAGGGCATCAGTGCCCTGACGTCAGCTCCACTGGGAGTGGCAGGAGCCACGGGAGCCGGCGGATAAGGGACCCACTACCCCATCGCACTGTGCATTCTGCCTCCCGTGTGGACTCCTGCTATGTTGTCGGCGGCTTTGGGGGATCAGTGCTTACTTAGCCCCTGGTTTAATGCTGAAGCCATTTGATAAATGCACCTTCAGTTTGTCAAAACCCAGGTTTGGTTGGCAGGACTGGGTCTTCTGCCCAAAGCCAGGTGCCTGCACCTCTCAGTGGCCTGGTTCTTGGACAGTTTGCCCCCATGTGGCAGGGATAGGGATAAGGATCTCCTCTCAGAACTGAAAGAGAATAGCCAACCACCTGAGCCCAGAGTCCCAGATCCATGGTGGCCTCCTGTGACCCCCAAGCCCTGCCGAGGGGACACTCACTGACTGCTTAGCCAGGGGGCGCCTTTCAAAGCTGCCCTCCGTGCTGTGCTGTCGTGGGTGTGAGACGTGCTCATGGCTTTCCACCACCGTCTCTCCCTTATCTGATGCCTAACTCATGATGGGACAGAGCTACCCAGGGGCCAGCCATGGGTGACCAGCCACTTAAGGGTCAGTCACCTGTGGAGAGCAGGCACCTGTGAGGACCAGGCACCTGAGGACTGGCCCCTACTTCCCACTTTGGCCCTACGCTAGCACAGAGCCCCTCTTTATTCATTTCTCATGCTGAGCATCGCACACCTCTGGCCTCGGGGCATTTATGGATTTAAGACCAGGATGGTATTTCAGAAGTTTCCCACTTCCTTCCTATTCTAACCAAGTGTCCAGCTCCTTTGCTGATCATGGACCCTTAATAATGAGACCTGCAGGCCAGGGGCAGTGGCTCATGCCTGTAATCCCAGCACTTTGGGAGGTCAAGGTGGGAGGATTGCTTAAGCCCAGGAGTTCAAGACCAGCCCAGGCAACATAGCAAGAACATGTCTCTAGAAAAAAGAATTAAAAATCAGATCTGCTGTATCCCTGAAAAAGTCTCAATCAACATGCATGTTCCACTCTTGGAGTTCCCTGTCCTGAGGGCCAGCCACGTCGTGTGTCCTGGAACTCAGCCCTCAGCAGCTCCCTTCAGCCTGGGCGCTGCCTGGGTCCCAAACGTGGCAGCTGCTCTTCCAGTCTCAGGGCCGAGGAAGGCAGGGAGCTCAGTGACTGAGAGTCTTGTGTATCACAGGTCTTGAGCGTCCTGGAGCCAACGGCTGTCACTGGGAAAAACACCAGGCCCCAAAGATCGAATCAGAGATGTGGCTGTGTGTTTGCAGATTATAGCCAGGCCCTTCAGTGCCATCAAAGGAGCACCGGGGCCTCCTTAAGCACAGACGGCAGCCCCTGCCCAGAAGGCTCCTTCACCACGTCCTGCCCTGCAGCCTCCCAGACCTTTAGACGCACCCCCACCCAAGGCCCTCCTGGTGCCAGGTGCCAGATTGAATGGTGGGTTGCTGCCGGGCAGGCCATGCCGTACTGATGCTGCACTCAGCACATGGGTGTCGGCTCTGCCGGTATTGTGGTGTGGGGACCCCACATGAGACTGCGGCCCTGAGAGCCTGGGGTCAGCGAGGTGTCCAACGTCCCTTCCCTGGTGGCAAGAAAAACTCCCCAAGTCAGCACTTTCGTTATTTTATAGCCACAACCCTCTTGGAAAACAGTGGGGAAGACGATGGAACACAGAAGGTGTGGACGTGTCACTTCTCTCTAAAATGTCATTGTTAGCACTAATTACAGGTTCATGTTTTTCTGTTTATGTAGCTTTTCCCTATATAGCTGAAAAAGTATTAAAGTCAAATATGAGGTGGGAATGGGATGGAAGGAAGATCAATACAACTTATATTTTTGCAGTTTCTACTGGAAGAAAAAAGTTTTCAATACCTAGACCAACTTGTTGAATTTTTAAAACCTATGCACTATAAATGCAACTCCCCACTGCTTTCTCAGTGCCTTTAGGAAGCTTTCAAATATTTTTTGTACTGTGGTTTGTATTAAATTTGCAATATTGATGTAAAGTACATGACATGCTAGTACATGTTTAGCAAAAATTGAAATGTCTGCAAATGTCTGTGTGATTTTCCAAATGAAGTCACTTTATTTCCTTTAAAGAGTGTGCTGGTTAATCTGCATTCTAAGACAGCCTTTCACCACTAAATATAAGGCAGCAATGAAACTAAAACTCTAGAGCTGCAAGCCTCGTGGAGGAGGAGAAAATGCCTGCCATTTCCCTGCTCCTGCCCAGCGGCACTGCATCTAGAGAGGGTCTAGGCCCCCCTCCCATGTCACTGAGGGTCAGGGCCCCCCCCGGGTGCTCTCAGGATGCCCGAGACCTGACCCATTCTGTAAGAAGCCAGGAGGGTAGAGCTGAGAGCACTGTGGGTCTGGGGTCATGCAGGGTCCACCCTGCCTGGCACAGGACCTGCATGACAAGCCCATGGGAAGGGGGAAGGGGGTCACCGGCCCAGGCAGATTGTGGCCAGATCCCCCAATGCCATAAAAAAAATGCTGGGGTCTAATTAAGCACAAATGGCAGTCCAAGGCCCAGGGAGCTGTGCTTTTGTTTCCTTTCAGGCAACTTTAGAGTCTGCGCAGACCCTGCCAGACCTCTGTCACACCCGGCAGCCCGTCAGCAAACCCGTCCTGGTCACTGGTGTAAGACTCCCATGTCCTCCCCAGGGACCAGGCCAGCCCTCCCATCTGTGGCCCCACACCTTGCCCCACCCCGCCCCCCGTACCCTCTGCTCTGTGGCCTCAGGCAGACGGAGTTCCTGCATTTTCACTCCTCACCCCCAATCTGGCTTCTGCTGAGTACGCCTGTGTGGAGGTAGGACGCATACAATTCCTTTTTTTTTCTTTTTTTTTTGAGACGGAGTCTCCCTCTGTTGCCCAGGCTGGAGTGTGGTGCAATCTTGGCCCACTGCAGCCTCCACTTCTCAGGTTTAAGTGATTCTCCCACCTCAGCCTCCAGAGTAGCTGGGACTACAGGCATCCACCACCACGCCCAGCTAATTTTTGTATTTTTAGTAGAGACTGGGTTTCACCATGTCGGCCAGGCTGGTCTAAAACTCCTGGCCTCACGTGATCAGCCTACCTTGGCCTCGCAAAGTGCTGGAATTACAGATGTGAGCCGCCATGCCTGGCTGGACGCACACAATTTCATCTCACTAGGCGCTGCCCAGCGTCCTCCAGAGGGCTGCACCCACTTGGCCTCCCTTCTACCAGCCACACCTCCTGGGCTCCTATCCTCCCCCGACACTGGGACCTGTATGGAAAGACTTTTTCAGTCTTGGGCTTCTGAAGGGATGAAACGGCAGCTGTTTTATGTACATTTTGTTGATTCATTCATTCAGCATTATTTTTTTAGTCCATGTTGAATATCAGGCCCTGGGCCAGTGCTGGGGATGCATTCAGGAGAAAACGATGCAGACATCAGTGCTGTCCCAGAGCTGACGTCTGCACTTGTGTGGTGTGTGGTGTGCGGTGTGTACCCATGTGCAGGGGGAAGGGGGGCAGGCAGCTGAATGTGACCATGAGAACTCTGCGAGGCATGGAGAGGACCGGTGCTTTGCAGGTGCACAGAGCTGCGGTTAGGGGTGGCCCAGGTCTTTGGGGCAGTTTTATGTGGGACGTATGGACAGCTGGAGCTGAACGGCGAGTGGAGGCGGCAGCACGACCGCAGTGAGGTCCGAGTGACAACAAAGCAGGGCCTGGGTGGAGACGCCCTGGTCATGGCTCAGAGGCTTGAGCAGGGCCCCGTGAGGAGGGTGTGGGGACAAGGTCTCCCTGATGAAGGCCGAGGGAGGCAGCTTATTCCCTGGAGCCAATGGCTCTTGTCCTTTACCTGTTTCTTGTTGCACTTGTTTGCCCTTTTAGATTGATTTGCAAGAGTTGTTTTTATTCTGGATAGCAATCTTTTTGTCAGTTACAGATGTTGACAATGTTTTCCCTCAGTCTGTGGCTTGGCTTTTCACTTAAGGATTTAAAAAATACATCCCACAGGAGTTTAAAATGTTAGTATAGCAACTTTTCTATTTTGTTCTTTATGGAATATGCATTTTGCATCTTAGGAAAATAACTATCTTTGACAGTGGCTTTTGACCAAAAAGCCAGGTTGTCTGATATTCATATCACCACA